TATAAACGTACGGATCCAAGAAGGTCAACAGCCCCCAAGCACATGCCATAGGACGAAAACCACAGTGAGGCGCACCCTAATCCAGTGATACGGGGGAATATCAAAAGCGGCCAGAGGGAGCTTTTTCCAGCTTGGTCCCGGCAGAATGGCGAGCGGGTGGTGAGAAGAAGGGCCTTCTGCCATCAGTGAGGTAGTGACCAGAGAATACACTGTCAACATTGACAAGCGCATCCGTGCAGTGGGTTTCGAGGAGTGTGCGCCCCTTGGGCATTTAGAGAGATCCCGAAATTCGCCACGTAGGAGGTGGGGACTCCAGATGTGCTCACTGACACCAGGCTCAACAAGGCCATCTGGGCCAGAGGGATAAGGAATGTCCCGTACCGTGTCCCGGTGTGGTTGTCCAGAAAATGTAATGAGGATGAAGATTCACCAAACAAGTTCTACACGTCAGTCACCTACGTGCCTGTCGCCACTTTCGAAAATCTACAGACAGTTAATGTGGATGAGAACTAACTGCTGATTGTTGAATAAAGATACAAAACTGCCTTTGAGGTTTGGTTTCTCGATTCTGGTTGAAATGTAATAATTGTGTGTCTTAAAGTAGTTCCCAGTTATAGAATCACTTGGAAAGCTTTTCCTAAGTACTATGCCTGTGTCCCTCTTCCCCAGCCTGTGGAGCTGCTGAATATTTTGGACAGGGCCTAAGCAGTTTGAAGTGATTTTGAAGTGTATGTAGCCTCGCTTTAGAATAACTGCTTAGGTAACTAGGACAGTGGAGATACATATGTCAGTGCTTTTACCTGCATGTTTCATTAATTCTAAGATAAACATTTTTCCAAGGAAAAAAAAAAGTGGCGAGAGGGAATAAAAAGCAGCACATGCTATGCACAAAGGAGCAGAGCTAGGATGGGGACGTTTCTCGTGGGAATAAAAGGAGCAAGCAGGTGGTGAGGCAGCAGTCTTTAAAGTGGTGGAAGCAACATATCCGCCTGGAATCCTGTGCCCGGTGAAAATACCTTTCCAAAGTTAAATGGACTTTTCAGACATACGAAAGCTGAAAGAATTTGTCACCAGCTGATCTACACTACAAGAAATCCCAAGGACTTCCTAAAACATGTAAGCAGATTCCACAGAGGCCGGGAGCGGGGGTGGAAGGGCACGGGGAAGGACACGTTGGTGCACAGCTGTGAAGGTGCCACGTGGCATTCAGTGGTCATGTTTCCTTAGTCTCCCGCGGTCTCTGACAGTCTCTCGGCCTTTCCTTCTTTTTCATGACCTTGACCGTTTTGAGCACTGGTCAGTTTTGTAGAATATCCCTCAGTTGGAGTTTGTCTGATGTCGTCTTGTGATCAGCCGGGCTTCTGGATTCCGAGAGACCGCCTCAGAGGTGAGGTGGCCGCACTGCATCGCAGCAGAGGGTCCGTGACGTCCGTGTGACTCACCGCTGGTGATGCAGACCTCGGCCACTTGGTTAAGGTGGCGTCTACCAGGTTTTTCTACTGTAAAGTTATTATTTTTCCTCTCTCCATACTCTTCTTTGGAAGAAAGGCATTGAATCCGGCCCACACTCAAGGCTTCCCCATATTTTAACAGAAGTGCGTTGAAGATTTTCTGTCCCTGTCTCATTAACGTACACCGTGTGTGTAGGGAGAGAGAACGTGCCTTTTTAGTTCACAGGTCCCTGCAGGTGGGCTCACCCAAGGAAGGACACCTGAGAGACCTCATCTGCACCTGGATCTGACTTCGATGCAAGATCCCGGACTTGAGTCTTGAGCTAAACGCTGTGACGAGATGAGACATTGGGGGTCTTGGGAGAGGCTGAAGGGGGGGTTGTGGTGGACTGCTTAGTTTCATGGCTCCGAGGTTCCTCCGGGCGGTCACACACTTGGTCAGACCCCTTCCATCTGACCCTGGGGTTGGCCACCTGACTGGCTTGGCTACTGCAACATCCTGTGAATGATGCCAGCAGAGACTTAATGGGATGGTGGCCCACGGGCGATCGTTTTCTTGTAAATCTCTCGGAAACCAACAGCAACTGCTTAGAAAGTGGCCTTGGAGGATGCGAGCCATCTTGGACATCTGGTCACCTCTGAGCTCCCAGCTGATGCAGCCGCACGAGCAAACCCAGCTCTACAGATGGCGTGGAGTGACCCAGCAGAGCCCAGCCCACTCACAGAATGGCGAGGATGAGGGAATCGTTGGCGTTTCAAGCCCTCACGTTCTGGGTGGCCGCTTATGCGGCAACAGAAAACTGAAGCTGCCTGTCCCACACCCCTGGCTCCTGCCCTCCCTCCGTGCCTCCCCAGCTCAGGTCTGCAGCCACAGCTGTCGCCACTCTCTCCCACCTTAGACCAACCGTTTGCCTACTCCACAACTACATCCGAGCACAAAGCTTTGCCAGAGAAAAACAAAAAGCCGTACTAACTGGTCCCTTAAGCTGGTACTGCACACGGCAATGGCTCAGCCACTGCCAGACAATCTCACTGGACCAGTCGTTCCAGTAAGACTTTCGCACCCAGTCTTTTTTCCCTGAAGCTGCCTCGTCTCTACCCCACCCCCTAAAACTAATCACCTTTACTCGCTGCAGTCAGGTGCAGTCAGGGGCCCGGCTGCCAGTGTCAGAAAACTCCAAACAACAATAGATGTTTTCCCCTTTCACACAGAGTCCAACACAAGACATGGAGAGTCAGCGGGGCAGCCGCACAGTCATCGAGTTCCTGCCCTTCACGGCCCCAGGCAGCTGCTGGAGCTCACCGCGGCGCATCCCAGACCACGGGAAGGAGGGACTGGCAGACAGCGAGCCCTCCCTGCCAGGACACTGGAAGTTTCACACACCGATTCTTGTGATTCTTGGATCGCATTGGGCAGGAATTCGTCTCAAGACCCCCTGAGTCTATCTGCAGTGTTGATACCCCTTTAGAAGTTAATAGACCAGAAGACTCCCCTCCGAGAGGCAGTGAGACCTCTGTGCGACCTCTCCACTCCCTCCCTCACCCCCATTCCCGCAGTGCCGCTCGGCCCCCTCCCCCGAGGCTGTTCCTGGGAGGGCCCTCCCACCCCGGTGAACCCCCATCCCACTGGACATGGGTCCCCTCCCTCCATGAGCCTGTCCCCTGGCCACCCTCTGTGTGTTGGGTGCCAGGGCTCCATCTTTGGCTTGTCTTTATCCACTGATTGTTAGAGGCCATCAGGGCCTTGGCCTAGGGGGCGTCGCATAGGATGTCGGCTCCACGTCTGCGCTCCCTTCTCTTCCCCTCGTCCCCGGTGCCTCCCTGCCTTCTCGACATCTCCCTTAATTCAGACCTCTGACTCCTCAGTCTCTCCTCCCCAAGATCCCTGACCCCAGCGCGCAGACCCGGAACCCGGACTCACCCTGAACTGCTCTCCGGTTCGTCTGCATCCTGTCAGCATGTCCTGTCTGCTGTGGCCTCACGGTGGGGCTCGGGCCTGCCCCCCAAGTGCCCTTTCTCCCTGCTTGTCTGCCGCCTTCTCCTGGCCCTTCCTCTCCCTCCCGTGTCACAGTGCATCGCTGCTTCCATTCCCATGGCAGTCTCCTATCGCAAGGACACGGGACAGACGCCAGCCCACAGGCTCGGTGCTGTCCACCTCCTGTCCCCTCTGCCCCCAGAGCTCCAGACTGCCAGCTCCTGGTATCGGCTCAAATGCTGCACCCCCAGAAAGGTCTTGCCTGACCCCTTTCTGGAGAGGCCCCACCTCCTGGCAGCATAGAAGTCAGCTCTTTAGTCTGTGCCCCCCTCACCCCTTCCTGGAGAGCCCCACCCTCGAGATCAGCAGCTCCAGGAGGACAGGAACTTTGCCCACCTGGGTGAAACCGAGTCCCCAGCCCGAAGCCTTGCTGACTGATCTAAGCAGCCTCCCAGAGCCCAGGCCGGGCACACCCTTCTAGCCCCTGTCCAGAGCTGACAGGCGGCCTAGCCCCGTGGCCCACACTCCGTGCTCTGCACGCTCCCACCACATTGTCTCACAAACTGTCCCAGCCCCTTCACTGCTGGGCTCTGCTCACCCTCTTGAGTCTTAAGCCCTCTCCGAAGTAAAAGCTGGGCACGGCCATTCTGGGGACAACTTGGGTCCCATCTTCTGGGGGAAAGGGTCCCTGCACTTGACCCATGAGTTACAAGTGCTCCCGTGGTTGCCTAAAGCAGATTCAGAGACAAGGCCCACGAGGTCCGGCCAGCCTCGGGACTAGGCTCTGAGCCCCGGTTCCGGGCAGGCCCAGCTCTTGGGGCCCGTGACCTGGGCAGTTGCACGGGGCCCCATGCTCAGAAGGGCCCGCGCTGTTTATGCTCCCGTCACCTCATGGAAATTCTTAATAACTTTTTGATGGGGGGGCCTTGCCAGTCATGTAGCTGGCCCTAGTTCCAGGGACACTCAGCTGACACTATACATAAAGACCAGGGTCGCCAGTATGGGCCTGAGGGAAAATGTTGGCCAGGAGAGCCAGGTGGACAGTGCCAGGCGCCACTCCTCCTGGGTCCCCATGGCCCACTGCCTTCTCTGCTCCTACGGCAGCTCCCAGCACCCAGAAAGCGGGGACATGCACTGGACGAGGGAACATGGGCTGGGGTCCAGCAAGCACATGGGAGCAAGCACCAGGAACTACCCCCAGCAGGCCTGAACCCTGGCCTGGGCCCCCCCTCCCAGCAACTTTGGGAGTACCAGGTCCAGGAAGCACCCTCAGGTGCAAGGCTTGACCCGTGGATGTGCCCTAGCCCACTGCTGATTGGACTGCAAACAGGCACCTGAACCAGACTGGGCCAATCAGCTTCTGAATCCTGGATTCCATTCATCAGTCAGCTCTTCTGAGCCCAGGTAGGACCAGCTCAGTACTGCTGGCCGAGTGGCAGTATGTCCCATACCTGTCTCGAGATGGGTCTAACCTCCTGGCCCTCACTCCCACCGCCACCCCATCTTCACCCCGAGGCCCAGGGAGGTGTGCACAGCGGGAGCCCTCCCCCACCCTGCAGAGAAGACCATGGCTGGGAGCAGGAGGCCACTTTACTGAGTAGTGCCAGTGCCCGCGTAGAGCGGGAGGGGAAGGGCGAGCGCAGCCCTGGGGGTGAGGGCTGGGTGGGGCGCGTCACACGTCCAGGTCATACTGAGAGCTGGGTTTGTCGTAGGCTCTGGTCTTGCGCAGGACAATGCCTGGGCTGAAGGAGGCCTCCAGAGGCCAGTGGCGGACAACGTGCCGGTAGGACGTGGACAGGCAGTCGAAGTAGTTAATGTTGAGCTTCCAGGCAAGGTGACGGCCCAGGAATTCCATTTGCTGTGGGAGCCGCTGGCAGTCAGCTCTCGCCCACACTGGGGACCCAGCGGACGCTCCGCTGCCCGGCATGGGAAGGAGGCCCCTCCCCTTGCCAGACCGCATCTCTCTTGCCCGTCACCCCCCGGGCCCTCTCTGCCCGCTCCAGCGCACAGGCTGGGCAGAGGACCGCGCTGTGTTCACCCTGTGCCTGTGACATAGCCCCACCCTAACACCCGGAGTAGTGGTCAACATCAAGTTGAACTGAGGAGGGGAGAGGAGCGAGTCTGGGCCAGGGCAGGTCGGGGCGGGACCCACCTCGTAGCGCTCTGACAGCTTCACCAGCACCAGCGGCTCCAGCTTGTGGCCGCACAGAACCAGCTGGAAGAAGCACTTTCCGTAGGCTGGCGAGGGGCACGCGGCTCAGCTTGGGGGCTCCGGGGCGGGGCTCCGGGGCGGGGCAGTGGGGCTGACGTGCCCGCCCCTAAGCGGCTTCCCCTCCCGTGCACACCCTCACCCTCTCCCTCACCTCACCCGCCGCCCGCCCCGTGCGTCACCGTCGAAGCTGCGCGCCAGGCGCACGTAGACCAGGTGCATGGGGCCCTGACACACGGTGCGGCCCTGGATGGAGAAGTGATATATGCCGCGGGTGTGGTTCAGGACCAGGCGGCGCCGCGGCAGGGACGAGATCATGATCCACAGGCCGACGCCCACGCCGTATGCGGGGATGCCCCAAGTCTCCTGTTTTTGCACCTGTGGGCGCCGCCAGGCCCTTCTGAGCGGGCTTGGGCGGGGCGCCGAGAGGCAGGTCCGGCCCCCAGGGGAGGTAGACCGTGGGGGGCGGGCCCAGGAGCTCAGACCTGGCCCACGAGGCCGAAGCTGACGAGGAAGAGGCAGACGACGAAGAGCAGCGTCCCCTTCCACAGCGTGTCCAGGTAGTACTCGAGCACGAAAACTGGGGACGGCGCGGCGGGGCCGCGTGAGGATAGGCGGCCCCTGCTCGCAGCCGGCGGTGACAGTGCCAGGGCTCCAGCCTGGAACAGCCCGCCCCACGCAGGGCTCACGGCCGCAGTCAGCGTCCGGCCTGCAGTTCCTGC